TACAGGATGTCGAGGACGTTCACTTTGCTAATGAAGGTGAAGAGGAACTAAGTGAAATATCGGCTAGTAGAGAAGCAAATACAATAAGAGATGACATTGCTAATAGCTTGCGTTAATAGTATTTAAGGAAAATTTTTATTAAAACAAAATTATAATAAAAAATGAATAAATTCTTAAAATATTTAATCTCTATTGGAGCTTAAAATTAAAAAAAAAAATTAGCGTCGATTAGCTTTCGCTAAATTAATCTTCTTTTCTTCTAACTCCAACTCTTTGCTTTTCACATCCAGCTTCTCCTTGAGAAGCTCTTCCATCTTTAAATTATTTCTTTAAGTTTCTTCGGCAAAATTTTCAAACACTTCGCCAAATTTTTTAAAATTGTGACTCACACCTCTAATATGACTATCTATACTTTTCATTAGACGTACATTTTCTTTACTTTATTCATTTCGTTGCTTCAAATGTTGCTCCATATTTTTTATAGCCTGTGTCTGCTCCACAATATATTTTTTTACAGATTCTTGTCTTTTTACAAACAATCGCCTTCCAGTCGAGCCACACCTGTAATTGTATTACCATGAATAAAAAGTTATCATGCTAAAGAATAAAAAAAAATGCAATTTACCTTTTTCCATCCCTGGATATCTTTGCTAGGTGGACCATGGCTGTTTAGATCACCTGTCAGTTCTGCCCATAGTTGCTCCGTGGCCACTTTGTCGCCTTTGACAAAGCCAGTTGCAATTTCCTTATGCATCTCCATAAATCTTAGCAAGATTCCATCTTGCACAGTGCTCTTGTGTTTACCCCTTCAAAATAATATATCAAAATTATTATATTCTTTATTTACATAACTTGTGAAACTGATTTAATTCAAAAAAAAATGTTATTATACTTACATGTTATTTTCACCACTTTTAAATTCACAACTATTTCGATAAGTGTTTTTAATCACATGTTTTTATGCGGACTCGATTTCTAGAGCATGCCAGAATAACATTGTTTTTATATTAAAATATTAAATAAAACTCGACATAATTTATATAAAATTGTAACGACCTTTTTCCCCGGCCCTATCTATAGCTGGGGTATACTCAGTGAGTATACCAGGGTTCGTTATAAGAAATTTATAAATGTGAAATAATAGAGACACTTCTGTTTAAAGTAGCGTTTATTATTTAACCAAAAAAATATAAATTAAGTTGTGGAAAGTAATGGACAGCGATGTTGAAAATGTTGTCAATGATGTGGAATGTTGTTAATGTTGTAACACTGTTGTAGCGATGTTGTAAAAGGTGTAGAATGTTGTATGATGTTGATGTCAGTGGTGCGCAAGTTGCTGTCATTAGAATCGTGAAATCTTGAAGTGAAAGAAATTCCAAATAGCAAAACCTGTAGTGAAAGAAATTCCAAATAGCAAAACCTAAAGAAACTCTAATAAAATATAAATCAATACCTTTGTCAGTAAAAACCAGACAAGGGTCCCTTCCTGCTATTACGCCTGCCCACGTCCGTCAGCAATTGCCAAACGCTCGTTGTCCCACACGCCTTCTGACAGTGTTTGTGACTCGTCGTCCATTCCTCCATCAGCTATGGCCAAATGGAAAA